TACGTGGTCCGCACATGAGCGTTCACGTCTAAATCCATTTTGTTCATCAACCAGCAAAATGTTATCCTCCAGATAGGATATTAACCTATTGTTTAGAACCGAGCTGTACATTTTATAAATGGTTGATAATAAGCTAATTCCTTTATAATTAAGTGGTACTCTTGGATCACTGTTAGAGTCTTTCAAATAGGACATGTGATATCATGGCGCCATTTGGAAGGTATAATATTTAACTCAAAACATAACATAAATAATCTATGAATAACTTCTATAACACAATTATATTTCAAAACTTCATACGGGATTTTGTCAACACCAGGGGATTTTCCGTTTTTAGATTTCAGGATGACATCTTTGAGGTCCCAGAGTTCTATATATCGATTTAGTTGAGGATTATGTTCTCTCAAAGGGTCAAGCATGTTACTTTCCATAAAGTTGACTTATTCTACTCGTTGGAGAAAGGTGTCGTTGCAAACAGTGCCTGTTAGGAGAGGATTGTATAAATTAGAGAATTCCGATTTCCATACATTTTGTTCAAAAGTTTACAGTAGAAATATCCCCGTCAACTGTATAACATTCTTTCGGAATTTTATTTTTCCTTTTAAAGGTCCGAGAGATTTAAGTTCTTCCCAGAATCGTTTCGGATTTATTGACGAAAAGCGTTCAAGATTAATAGCTAGGTCCAGGTTGTATTTACGTTGAAAGAATCGCATTCGTCTGTCTAGGTCTTGTTGAGCTTTCTTATATTCATCAAATGCTCTGTGTTTTAATGCGTGTTTTTCTTTTTTGTATCTTATACTTTTTCTTTATCCCTCATGGTACACCATATATCAGTTATTTCATTATTCCAGTCAGGTTTTTGTGTACGGAATTTTTTACGTGAACTTTTAGACCAGTCATATTCTGGAACCTTACACTCCATTTCCTTTGCTATAAGATTACACAATTCTTTGTATGTTCTATCAATGTTTTCTTATTATTCACGACAAGCCTCAATGCTCCTGATTATATTCAATTAACATGTTCTTGTGTTTATTGAGGACATACAAAATTGAAGGATACACCGCATTTGTATTTCTTGATAGGGATGGGGAGTCTCTGTTTTGTGCCCTGTTGATTTTAAATCCTCTCCTACATTTTTTATCTTAAAATAAAACATAAGAAAACAATGCTCGGGAATTCGACACTTTTCGCCCTGCGAGTTTACTAACCAGTATTTTCAAATCTCATTACACGAACCTATCCGGAAATCTGAGCACTGTTACAATGCACTTTGAAAAATTACGCACTTTGAAAAAAAATTTCAAAGTGCTTTAAAATTTGGGCCCAAGCTAACGCACTTTGAAAAGAAAAATAATTTTTTTTCAAAGTGCGTTAATATCGACCATATTAACGCACTTTGATAAAAATGGAAAGATTGATCAATATTCCTTCAAATAATCAGTATGATAAATAACAGATCCTGGTTTGATAACTTTTTACGATGAAGTCACTGTAGGAATTGTGTGCCAAGTTATATTGAAATCAGACCAAAACTGTAGGAGGAGTACATTTTAAAAAAAAAAGTTTGCAGACAGACAGGCAGGCAGCTAGACGGACGGACGCCGGATGCATTACTATCGCATAAGCTCTTCTAGTCTCCGACCTGTAGAGCTAAAAAAAATGTACAGAGAAAAAAATCTTACAGAAGAAACACGGACTGTAATACTCGAACTCACGAACATTATGTCTTCAATCTAGCAATCATACTACTACGCCTCGAAATCGTGGTAATCAAATGGATAAAATTAAGACAGATTGTTGAATCTTGAAATAATTGTAGACGAAAATTAATTACATTTTTTCAACATTTTCAATATGAAGACCACCTTTAACCAAAATTATCTAAATGTAATGAAGTGCAGTCAAATCAAACTGAAATTGATTTTTTTTTCTGGTTAAGGGTGGTCTTTTGCTTCATTTTTTCAATGTGTAGGGGGATAACTCAATTATACTTTATTCTCCATATAATCCGAGCGATTTTTTTTATCTATCATATGAAGGAACTATTAATATTGAATATTATTTTTGTGTGATTTGCTTTAAGGCATGTATAAACTTTTTACCATATTACCTATAACATATTTCTAAAATAATGGCATTTGATCAGAATGAAAATGACCAATAGAGGTCGCATATATAACTGTTCAAATTAAAGCTATATATAAAGTAAAATTAAGATATTCATTTTAAGGGGCCAATTGAGACACAGACCATATATCGCAGAATTATGAAAACATAATACAATATCATTACAATAACATTTCCGTAGTAGGTAGATGTCATGAGCATCTCATTCGAAGAACAAGCCACAGTTTCGCTACAAGTTAAGCCCTGTATTTTTCTGAAATATGAAAGTGATATAAGAATTAAAATCCATTTTTACAGATTTCTAGGAATTCCTTGCAGTAAAATACACAAATCGTTTCTCTCATATGACCTCCTAAATGCTAATTGTGACGTCATAAAGTTGTACATTTTCTCGTATTGTCTTTTAAAGGTTGCAGACGACATCAAATTTCAGTGGAATTTTCTTTCAGAAAGCATACTCTTTCACCGCAGCCGACAACAATTTTTAGAAATGTGATTTTTCAAAGCACTGTCCATAATTTATCGGAAAATTGAAATAGGCGCCAGTGGCACGCACCATTTTCTTAGGAAAATAAGCGCAGAATCATTCTAAAGCTTTTGTGCACTAAGTTTAGAAATGTGCCAAATCAATGATGTCGTATTTACAGAAAGGTCCTCCTTCATTACATATTCTTTAATACACTATATATTTACTCAACTTTTGTTACAGCCAATTTCATAACTCTTTAAGAACATGGAATTTTTTAGGGCACAATAAGGCCAAAAGTGTTTATTCTTCATTAAAAGTTGAAGTTCTCTATCAATGAAATTCCGAATCATATGGAGGGAATTGATAGGGAAAACAAACAGTATTAGAGCCCACAAGTCGTGTTTATTGGTGAAATCTCCAACATGGGAGTAAATACAAAATTTAAACACAACTGTACAAAAGATTGACCAGCTCTCTAAGATGACAATGGTCGAAAATAGGAAAGTAGAAATTGTTTAGGTTTATTTCTATCAGAAAATAAATCTATAATTATATTTAAAAATATGTTTTTGCTTTCAAATATCGTGTTTTAAGATTTTATTAATCCGTATTTTTTTTTTAAATCTAAGAGGTGCTTTTTTAAATTTAAAAAAGACTTACGTTTTCGCCCTTAAAGAAAGGTTTTTTGTAAATGCAGACACCATAAACATTGGCCTTTTAATTCATATTTTCAGCCATGTTCTTCAATATAGACCTTTTGTCGTTACAAAGATAGATTTAAACTCCAAAGTACATCTCGAACACAAAATAAGTCAAAGGATTTTCTCGGGGTGACTTTTCATGGAAAAGAAATATTTTGTTGAACATATTACTGTTTTTACTTATACTATACATATACATGTATAATACTTACCTTCTTATTTAGTGGCAGTGCTCCCTTGTTGTATCTAATACTTATAATCTGCGCATGCGTTTATAATAATAAGGGTCAAAATTACTCAATTAAACTAAATATAATACTTACCTTCTTATTAGTGGCAGTGCTTTCTTACTGTATTCCATACCCATAATTTGCGCATGCGTTTAAAATAATGAGGGCCAAAGTAAATTAATTTCTCTATTGCGTAACAACAGTAACCACAACAGTAACTATCCATGTTGCAACACACACTGAATAAGGAAGCCTAGAAGGGTCCAATAGATATAAAGAAAAAAATTAACAACTTTCGGAATAGTTGCTGAACAAAAAGTGTTCAAGATCCTTTGAGCCTTAATGCAAATCAAGAAAAGAGATCAACTCCTCTAAGTAGGCTTCAAAAAGAGCCCTAAGCCTTTAATCGATAGCTCTGTTACAGTAAATATTTTGCTATACATTACTGAAGCAAACATATTCTATCAGCAATCTACAATTACACATTATGAATTTTATGACTAGGGACCACAAAACGCCATAATGCTAATTTTTAACGCTTTATATCGAGATATTTTGAAAAGTTATATTGATAAAAGAAGTTCAAAATAATGTTCTGACCCCGATCGAACCTGTAGAGCACCCGTTGAGGACGCCGATCAAACCTTAAGTGGGACCAGAGAGCGAACCCATTTATTTTAATAATCCGGGCTGTATGTTTTTTTTCTATATAATTACTTTAGTTTTTGTTTATCAGAGCAATAAATACATTTTTTCGAGGTATTTACATAATTGTGTATTTATTTAAGGAATGTTTTTCAGTTTTGTGGAGTTATTGGTGTGTGAATCACACCGACTTGTCACGTAGGCATATTTCCCATATTTCATGAAGCGCGCTAGCGCTTCATGAAAAAAATGCCTACGTGCAAGTCGGTGTGATTCTCACACCAATAATGCTCTAAACTGAAAAACATTCCTTATATTTACATTTACCATGTTTGGAAGCGACTAAAATATGCTAAATGTTGGAATTTCTCGCTGCCCTATATCGTTGCATTTTTACTAACGTCGCTGCATGCAGCTTCATTGTGACGTCACGTAAACGCACGTTTCTCCGTGTATATTTCTACGCGTGAGTATACACGAAAAGGGTTTTCAAATCAATTTCACTGTTTGCTTACCAGAAAAACAAAGCAAATGTATTGTTTTTTATTTTATTTTTTTTATTTTAAGTCCATTTTTTGGTATAAAATGGGTAAATATACCAGGGTTGTCCCAAAAAGTCGTAGACAATGTTAGTAATTTTTTTAACACGTAGCCAATACTAACCAAATTTTGCATAGATATAATACATTCAATGTTCTTTACAATTGTGAATTCTTAAATATATATCCTTCATATTAATTATATTGGGACTATTTATATGAACGCCGATATGGTCTGTCGGCGCACGACCAATATTTGGAATAATTTACAAATATAACTATTAAAGAACTAGGAGCGGTATTTACATGTTATAGCCGTGGATTTTCGTATATTTTAATCTCCTATAGTTCATGCATCAATGTTGTTCAATAAACTGACAAGGCTATGTACTTCATTCACATCTATTAAAAAATGACGTATGACTTACTGTGACGTCATTATAGCGCGCCAAAAACAGTGCGTTCAATGAAAAATAAGAAAAAATGCATTAAATTGAACATTTCATCGTAATTTTCAACACCAGCGCATGTAACAACCAATTTTATATTTGGTACACGTATGCAATATTACTTCTTCTTACTGTATGCCAAATTTGGTGTTGGTTGTCATCTGCGCTCCCTATGAAAATTACAGAAAACGTTCACGGAATTTGCAGAATTTCTTAAATATTTCAACTTTTCTTCGATTTATAATCACCTTGGAAACCGTTATTCAAATGAACTGCCGAAGATTACAGTTGTAGATTTGAAGAATAGTTATTAACCTAGAAGAATGGTGCCTACCTGTTGATTATTTCACGTAAGTATGTTATTAATGGCTGTATTCTTAATTAACTATCGAAAACATGATTCAATATTCAACACTTATGTATGATTGACAACCCTTAGCCTGTACAAATCCAGCCACGTACATGGCTAATTAAAGGATACAAATTATATTACATCTTACATTTTATACCCTTTGAGAAGAATTTTTCTAGCGAAAATGTGTATTGAATTTCCCTAACAGAGTCAATCCATTGAAACAAAAACAAGACGACTCGAAAAAGTTCTGTCAAGTAATGTAAATCATAAATTGTGATGAGTGACTTCAAAACATTACGAGTGTTAACCTGCAGATATCAAGTTCAATATATTAAATCAACAACACAGTATTTAAGATTTGCATTATATATTTTATTTAATTACCACACGTATCTAATCTTCCATGATACTGGTATTGTACATGTATGTATATTTAAAAAAAAAAGGATATCAGCGCGTAGTATCAGGGGGACCTGCCCCCTCCCCACTTTTTTCCCCCAAACGTAACCTTTTCCTACTAAAAATGTCCTCGAAATGCTAGAAGCGCCTCTTTACTTTTTGTTGTAACAGATAAAAAAGTAAAGGAAAGATCTTAATATTTATTAATTAAAAAATAAAAGTACAACATTCAAAAGCTAGGAGTGGGTGAGGTGTAACGTTTCTGTCATAAGGTCCTCTTTCACTTATAACAGGCGCGGATCTAGGAATAATTTCTAAGGGGGGTGTACTTTTTATTAAAAAAAAAATAAATCCAGAAATTTCCTAACAAGAAGAAAAAACCTTAAACTCATTCCCCAAACGTTAAAAGTTTATTTCGTCGTGGCAGTGTTGTTAAGGTTCTCATTATATCCCGGGTATCATAATTGCATCGTGCTATTTTCCAAAAATCTGTTTGCAGTCCGAATGTAAACTTTTATGGTGATTTAAAAGTTTGGAATATGTGTCGGTAATTTTTTATTCAAATAAAATGTAATTTTACACATTTCCATTCCCGTTTATATCATATTTAGATCAATGATTTTATAACCTAGTAAAAGCCAGAATAAAATTCATGTTTTGAAAGTCTTTAGTTTGTATTAATGTTATTTTTTTTATGTGGAAATACACTGTAAATATAAAAAAGAAAAATTGAAGTCCATGTCATCCACAAGTTTCCACGTTTTCGTATACCGCGATACTACGAGAATCTACAATTTAGGAGGTAAATAAGACTTCCTGTTCTAAAAATAGGCAACAAATGAAACAATGAATACTTGAGAAATAAGTTGACACTAAAACGTTAGGCCATATAGATTGGTTTATGGATAGTATTTGATGAAAGTCAAAGTAAAAAATTGGAATAACACTTTTTATGCAAAAAGATTAAGTACTGCGATATTATGAGATACCAGTATACCTATTTCACAAAGATCCGCGTTTCCGGGGAAGTGTCTGCGTGCTCTAAGAGAGGGAGGGTGTGTGGTTCAAGCACTTTTACTTGCTTTGGTGTATATAATTATTAATTAATTAATTTCCTATACAGAGTTGTCGTACATTCCTCTCTCAGACATGTTCAATGCATGAGCCGATGGTACAGAGTGACATTAAATAACTGCAAATGCCATGCCCCCCCCCCCCCATCCCGTGGGTTATGTTAGAGTTACTTACTGACATTCGCTGCAGGGTCATGACATATTCTAAAACATTGAACGTGTATAAATATGACACTTATTACATGTATAATACAATAGAGATAAACATGATGTTTTTATAACCATCGACACTATGATACAGTGTAACTACAGTGTCATTTGTTATAGGATCTTAGAATAACAGTTATACGAATGCAGATTTCCTTTTTTCAGAGAGAAGTTTCAACCCCCCCCCCCCCAAAAAAAAAAAAGAAACAAAAAAATCCTTCTCAATTTTTTTTTTCACATGCAAAGAAAGACGTTTGAATTTGAATATACTTCTCCTTACGTATTGATTATATAACACGTTTTTTTTTCTTCAGACTTTTTTAATCAGATCCTACATAGTTATGTGTCTTTTATAGATTTACATGTAAACATAATCAATGTACATATTAATATACTATAGATCACTATAATATACTACAGATCAGCATTGCTGTTTACTGAATGAATATTTGTTATTTCTAAACTTTTTGAAGTATTTGTTTTACCCTTACAATGAAATACGTGTCTTTATGTAAATAAAATGACAAGCACTTATGCATGATAAGGAATATACACAGAGCCTTGTGTGGCGACAATTTATCCGGGGACAGATGGTCTCACATTTTCATTACTTTATATCATATAGATTATCATACCCGAACCCAGTCCTCAACTTCAGTTAATAGAAAAGTTATAATATCCATGCCTAGAAATACCGGTCATTTTCCACGACGATGAGGTCAATAAAAGTCTTATTTTGTTAAAGTTAAAGAAAAAAAACTTCTATCCCTTTTTCTTTCCTGGTCCCCATCCACACCACTGCATTTTTCACTCTGTTTTTTGGGGGGGAACGAAGTAATAACGCAGAGGGGGGGGGGGGGGGGGGGGCTAAGAAGTTTCTTTCTATGTCCTATAAAACAAAGTGAAAGCACGTTAAAATGTATAAGGCACGGGGACCAAACATTTTTAAAATGCACTGCAAAAAATTTTTAATAAAAACATTCTCATAAGAAAAAAATTATAAGTCTGAATCTACAAAGAAATTCATTTCCAGTAGTCCGTTTTCGATGTGGCGCCAGAAAAGGGAGGAGTACTTTCCTCAAGGCGACCTGTAGACTCTGCCTAATCAAATGATTATTCCCCCTCCCATCCCCTTTCAAATCGAAATCGTAGATCCGTACCTGATGACTTTGGAATGCTTGACAAAATTAGCTAAATGTACTTAAAGCGACAATAATGATATATATTTAATGTCCTTGTATTATTTTCAGATAAATATGTCGAAAATCAAAGCATACTCATGCGTTGGATGCCATAAGCGATTAAAGAAAAATGAGGGGAGATTTCTGCATGGAAAGAAAAATAATGGCCTCAGAAAGTTTTTATCAATTAAAGACTTTTGTTACGGACATACTTGAGAATGACATTGTCTGTAATCGATGTCGACAACAGTATTACTCTACACGATCTAATATTCCTACATATAAAACACCCATTGCTTCTGATACATGTAGTACCAACAAAGAAAACAGTGTTCCACCCATTACAATACCAGTGTCTTCTGCAGGATACCGACATGATGCATGTGTCATATGTGAGAAAAAGGCCCGCAAACTAGTTGTTGTTCCAGAAAAAGCAAGGTGTGAGATGTTCGTGCAAAATTTCATTTTTATGAAGCCTGGGGCTAGGTGCTGCCCGTGCCACATTCATGATGGTCATTTTGTTGAAGACGTCTTAAAATCGGGTGTTTCATCAAGTCTTCGCTGTTACACGTCCTTCGATGAAATTGGTCTTGCCGAGTTTCTTGAAAGCTTGCGAGATGTTGCAAAACGCAATGGTGCTGTTCGACTTGACTTCGACAATGATTCCAATATGTCTGATCAGGATTACATCAATCTTACGGGTTTAGACAGAAGGCAATTTAACGAGGTTGTCAGCTACAATCAAGATATAAAGACTTCTAAATCTAGAAGTATTAGAACCTGCATTGCTGTGTTGCTCGTCAAACTTAGATGTGGCCTTGAAAACAAGATTATGTGTACCCTTTTCAACATGAACAAATGGCAGGTAATATATTTAATTAATACTTAAAAATTAATCAATGATTTTATAAATTATAAAGTTAGAAATCAATAAGAAATCAATTACAAGTAATAAGTTTATAAATGCTCTTACTTTGAATTTTAGATTCGTCGTGCTATATCGTCTGCACGGAGGGCATTATTAAAAGATTTTGTCCCTCAAAATCTTGGATTTGGCCATCTCACTAGAGAAGACGTAATATCTAACCATGCACACTAGACCACTGGCTAAAGAGCTTTTTTCCCCTGGTTATGAACAACGCCCACCTGTCCTACTTGTTCTTGACGGGACGTACATTTATATACAGAAATCATGTAACTTCAGATTTTCAAGGCGCTCCTTCAGTATGCACAAGCACAGGCCATTAGTGAAACCGATGATGGTAGTAACTACGTCAGGATATGTGGTGTCTGTCCTGGGGCCGTACCTCGCCGACTCGAAGAACAACGATTCCGGAATCTTAAACCACATGATCCGGAGCAACACCGAAGAAATGCGAGACTGGCTACAGGATGGTGACACGTTCATCGTAGATCGTGGATTCCGGGATAGTTCCGAGGTGCTTGGCGACATTGGTGTCAACATGGAAATGCCTTGCTTTTTGCAGAGGGGCACATCTCAACACACCACACAGGAAGCTAACCAATCACGCTTAATAACCAAGGTATTTTAACTATTTTTACTATAATTTTACATTTAATTTCCTGTACATTTGTACATTGTACTTGTCTTCTAGTATTTATGAAATATTTTACATCATTAAAAAATGGGCGCTTTGTTTAAATAATTTAAATTCAAATCAATTTTAAAGGTGCGGTGGGTTGTCGAATCAGCCAATGCGAGGTTGAAGAGATGGAAATATCTGAATCATGTCATACCAAATACACAGATTCCCTTCATTGGCGACTACGTAAGAATCGTGTGTGCCCTATGCAACAGATTTACTTCCGTCTTAAGTTCTGGCAATGCGGAAGAGGATCAGGCCATGACCCTAAAAATGCTGCATCTCTCCAAGCGGACAAACGAGCTACAGGAATTTGTAGAAAGTAATGGACTGTCAAACAGGACATATTCATGGCAAAAAATTGACGCAGCCGGTTTTGCGCAAGACTTCCCTAAACTGTCTGATTCCGAAATTCGCCAGTTAACGCTAGGAGTGTACCAAGTAAAAATGGCAAAAGCATACACCCAGGAACACTTACAGGATGACGGTACATACGAAATTCTTGTGAACGAGGACCTGGATGGTATTATTGGAGCCAAAATTCAGAGTCGTCATGTCAGTTCCAAAAAGTATTCCTGTTGGGTAAAGTACGAAGATGGTGTTGTCATATCATGGTACTGTAAGTGTAAAGCCGGCGCACGTATTGTTGGTTCCTGCGGACATATAACAAGCGTAATTTGGTTTTTATCGCATGCCCGACACCAGGATAAGCCCGTGCAGGGAGTGCGTGATTGGTCAGAACACCTCGAGGACGCAGCTCGCGTGATCGACGATTCTGACAGCGGCGAGGAGAGCTCAACTGAAGAATAGATTGTCTACATAAGCTAGTTACATGTATTTTCTGGCAGTGATATATTTCACATTTATCGATATTATTTATCATTGAAAGAAATTTCCAACTGAAATACCTTAAATACTTAGTACATGTATGATTATTTTCACGATATATAGATCGTCCTTACGTTTCTTTTACAGCAGCATAATTCTTGTTGGTGTTTGAATGAATGAATGGTCTGTGTTACATATTCGAGTAAAAATTGTTCAAATTATTATTATTTAATGATCATTAAAGAAAATTGCTTTCTATTTATAATAATGTTTTTCCTTCTTTTTATTTTACATTGATTAAAACGATACGAATTGTGTTATACTGATATGTGTATGGATTTATCACAGCACGTTTACAATTGACGTGTATAACGTCAACGCTAAAATGGCGACGTTAAGTTCCAAACAACGGCATTTCCAGGCAATTTTTTATATAATATTTAAAAAAATAAACATATACTGATATATATCATCTGAAAGGAAATTGTTTTGGCTTTCCTCCTCGAAAATTAAAAGTAAATTTCAACACGCGGCATTTAAACGGCTAAAACGCCCCTTGTTCTTTGTTTTTATTTCTTTAGTAATATGTATAAGATTGAGCTGAAATTTAATTCAATGAAACCATAATCAAAATTTTTATGAAATGTCAAATTTTCATATAAATAGCCTTAGAAACAGACGGCTGGTGGCATGATTTTCAAAGTGTTGTTTGAATTCAGTTTGATGAAAATGACGTCGTCGAACGCGTAGCCGGAGCACGAAAGGTAATAAATTTTTCTTGGTATGTTTTATATTCATCACAGACGGGGAAAAAGTACAGAAAGGACATAACACACTATGTTTTAATAGAAAAGTTGGTCTATTAATAGAATGGGATTCAAAGATTGTTTTCCTCTATATAAAAAAATAGTTATTGCATGTAAGGTAGAGTACTGATTGTTTAACGCAGACATTTAGGAACGTTGAGGGTCATGAACGTCGCAAAAAAGGTGTATTCTCTGCCCCTAAAATGTAAGGTGATCTTTCAACTAATTTAATTTTGACTTAAATTTAATTCGAATCTGCTTAACAGCCTGTCTCCGAGAAAAGCATGCAAAATAGTCCGAAAGCAGGTTTCTCCGATTGCATTCAAATTTTAAGAGCCAAATCTACTATGCATAAAATGAAATCAGACAAATTTCTATTGAGCTAATCCACCCCACATATGTTTTATGGCCTGTTACTAAAAATAGCTCTTATGCAACAAAATTTGAGGTAATTTTTTAACATTTTGGACATATTTTGAGAAGAAAAAAAATTGCAACTTTAAAAATTATTCAAATATTTTGTTTTGTTGTAAAAGAATAAAGATTAGTTCTTTTTATATGCATAGTCAGAATGATTGACATTCATTTTGTTTTAGTGCAAATAGGTCATGAATTTGGCAATGTTCCAAAATTTGAAAAAAAGTGACAATTTTTAGTGGAATTGAAACTTTTCTAGTTAAAAGGGGGGATGTTTTAATCCAGTAAATTTTATTGCTTATTGTTAAGAATACCTATGTTAACAAAATATGAAAAAATTACCCTTGGCCAATGTACACTTTAGAAAATATTGAAAGTCAAAGTTTCTGAAATTTTCACATAAAAAATTTCAAGGATACAGTTAGCGATACTCAAAAAATAGTTCAAATCATGTCCAAAACTAAAAAAATGTTATTTTCTAGAATTCTTCCTATCTGTATTACAGAATTTAAACAAAAATAGCTCTCAGTTTAATGTTTAATGACTTTAAATTTTATAAAATACATGGAAAAAGAGGCCGGGGGGGACTGGCTATGAATTCTTTTTAAACCTCTAAATGGATAAACTTAAGTATAAACGTTTATTATACAACTATAGCCTTTTGATGAGGTCAATCCCTCGATATATAAACCTTATAGGAAGCATATCGACCGAGCACGAAGTGCGAGGTCGATATGCTTTCTCTAAGGCCTATATATTGAGGGATTGTACGGAATCATAAGGCTACAATTGTTTTATTGTTTTTTATTAGTTCCAAAGAAATGTCTTAAAATCCTTCTTTAAAATACCCAGTAACTTCTCATACAAAGCAATGCTATGCCATTGTATTATGACGTCACAGTAATGAAAACCAGCTGCAGTATCTGTTTTTAGAAACATCCAGTCTATAAAGACTATTGTGACGTCAGCACTATTTTTGCTTCAAAGAAGAACGTTTCCAATTTTAGAAACAGCAGGTTTATAAATTTTTAAAAAAGAAACATCCAGTCTGTAACACTTTTTATTCTTGATCATGTGATCCAGTTTGAGCCAATCAGATAGTTGGAACAATAAAGAAAATAATAATTACATTTAATGCATGTATACATACTTGGTCAATATTTACACAAGTGAACCATTTTTTAGTGAACACATTATTCATCATACTGGTCATTTGATCAACATATTCATTTGAGTGTTAAAGTACAAACAATTTCTGCAATTTTTCAACATCATCGATACAAACATTGAGATATTTCAGACAAGTTCTTTTTACTGGGGGAAGGTGAAAATGGCTTGAATTTTTTTTTTTTGATGTGACACAATACATCCTCCTTTTTTGGAGCTACTTAGCCATTTATTTTGTTTATAAAATTTCATCATTTGCACTCATTACTTTCTTCTTCTGCCATAAAACAACATCTGGACATTTACTGCTCTCTAACAATTTTCACGTATCATAGACAAGTAATTGTTCACTTTCTGGGAGAATCATTTTCTGGATTTTGAAGCCAAACCAATTGATTTTCCTGTTGGCTCTTATTGAACTCCACCAATGCCTGTTCCTGATAGGACGCATTGCAGTTTGTATCAGTAAATTTTGAAACTCTCTAATGCTTGAACATTTTAGTAGCATACAAATTTGCTGTGTTGTTCTTACTTGATCCTGAATTTGTAAAATAAATGAGATTTCCAACTGCCAAATATTTTTCAAATTTCAAAATTGAAAATTCTTTTTGGTCTGATGAATATTAACAAGAGTTATACATGTATTGATGATTACTACTCTCTTTGCTTGCTGTAGTTTTGACAACTTTCACAACTGGTATCATCTTTCACTTGATCAGTCAGATCATGGTTTGATTGAAATGGGTTTTCAGTTGTGCTCCATTGTTCCTTCTTTCTTGGAAAAACTGCATAACCTATGAAACAAAATGCACCATGAAATGAAAAGAAATATGTCCTCCTTCTTTGAGTATATATCAATAAAATATGATGACATAAAGAATAATTTTTTGTACATGCATAAGTAACTGCTGAATGGAGGAAAGGTGAGGTTGAATCATTGGAAAGGTCTAAGTAAGAAAATAATGACAAAATCATTGCTGTCATCAACACTGATTTTAAGAATATTAAGTTTATAATCAAAACAAGAGGCCCATGGGCCACATCGCTCACCTGAGCACCGTGGCTAGCATAAAAGCAGAAATAATTCAAATTGATTCATTATTGAAAAGCTTAAACCCAAAAGTAGTCCCAATCATTCCTTAAAGGCGAGAGGGTATGATTTGCACAAACTTGAATCAACACTACTCAAGAATGCTTCCATATAAATACATGTATGACCAGTCATGGCTTTGCGATTCTTAAAAAGATTCTTAAAGAATTTTCTTATATATTTCTATGTAAAACTTTGGTCGGCCATTGTGGCCCTGTCCTATCCCCGGGGGTCATGATTTGAACAAATTTGAATCTACACTACCTGAGGATGCTTCCATATGAATATGATTATATTCGTGGCTTTGTCATTCTTGAGAAGAAGAATTTTTAAAAACTTTTCCTATACATTTCTGTGTAAAACTTTGGTCGGCCATTTTGGCCCCTTCCTAGGGTAAATCATTCACATTTTCACTTAGACTTGATCAGTAGATAATTAAATTAGTGTGATCAAGAGAATAGCAAAAATCAGCTCTTTATGTACCAAACAAAGTAAGAAAACACTGGCTTTATCATTGTGACAAAACTGTGTCACTGAACATGCGGAATAGCTCTATTAAAGAGCATTTGACTATAATAATAATAAGTTTTTTTTTCATATAAGACTTCTTAAATATTTTTTTCAGATGACAATTCTTACCATTTACATCTGGATCAGGACACTTGTCTTTTAATGTATTGGGGTCCAAAAAAATCCTCTGCATGTTGACAAATGTTGCTACAAGAAGTGAAAGTTAATAGTAAATTATTTATAACTTTACCCAGGTTTGTTATACAATTTGAATAATTTGGACCTCTCCAACATATGGTATACTAATTAAATATCATATTGTGCATGCTTAAATGTTCTGTTTAAACTTTCTGTTATGAGTCATATTATCATGACCCATTACCTTTCTAAAATATCAATTTTGCAAAAATGTGTATTCATTTTGAATACATTAATTGTTTAAGTAAATATAATAGAAAAATGTGTGATAATATTTGGATAAAAAAAAACCTTTCCTTCTTTTAATACCTGGTACTTTTATGTATACTCTTTAGTTTAGACTTATTTTGAGTAGCAAACTATTTCACTTCTTGCACAATACAACAATTCAAAAGCATAAATTACATGTATGCGAAACAAAGCATATGTGCAGTTGAATGGTGAATATTTTTTAACTAGAGAAGTTATAATTTTTACTCCATCTCTTAACAACTGATTGGACTTTCTTAATTTCTTTACAAAAGTATACATGTAAGACATATCAAACAATAAACATGACTGTTCCTAATTAGAACATTTTCATTCATTACAAATTCTATATAGGTCACTGTAGATATTGAAATAAATAGGAGCTGCAACTTGGATGTCCAATTTTTTTATTGCAGAATTATTTCAAGAACAGAGAAAAAATCATTATAATCTTCTGTTGTTCATATTTGCCACATTGCGATGAAAGAACTTTTTCATAACCTATGATTGAAGCAAGATTGCATTATCGTTGTCCTGTACAATATTGATTTCTAAATAATTCTAATTTGCTTGTGCAGAAGTCTTTCTTCTAAAACACTTTGATAATACTTCATTTTAGTCTTACTGAGCATACAGGTTTTAATTTAAATACAAATGTAACATTATAACACATTATATAATTTTATGGCAAAATAAATTTCTTAAAAATGCAGCTCATATTACTTGAAGTAGAGATAAGATATTTGGCCTACCTGTCAACATGGTCAGATCCTTCAGTTTCTCGTCAACTTCAAGGTAGCAGAGGTTTGTTATTCTTCTTCGCCATTTTAACCATGTTAACCCCCCACGTTATCCGTATGTCTTGGGTAGATTCATAACTTTAAATATACCACCGTATACATGGTCAACATGGTCATGAGAAAAAATCCACATTTCACAATCAATCCTCCAGTCGGTCCACAACTTTTTCCCATACAACCTGATACTATAGCATCTCGGTCGGAGCTTTAAAGAAGCGCAAACAGTGTGATGGATCCTTGATACAGTCATACAAATAAAA